TATGTAAGCTGCTAGTGACCTGACCTCTGCCCCTGGTGCAGAGAAATGGCATGTATGTTCTGCTGGGATCAGGTTCTCCACCTTGGACAAGGGAAGATAAAGGCTTCGTTTAAAAATAAAGACATCACTCTCGGGTTTGTCAGTGGTACTGTACATTTTCCCCTCTGCTGCTCTGTGTTTACAGGCATACAAAACCAAAAATAAATGTATGAGGAAGAGAGAGGAAGGTCAGAATATCAAGTGTCAAAAGTAGCCCGTGAAATTTTATTGGTGGTGCATTTAATCAGTGTTAAGCGTTTTTTACAAGGTACATACAAACAGTGGAATTGTAAAAATTTATGGAATGCTGTGTACAGTGTGGCTGTTTATGAAGAAAGGAAAATTTATATCCAGCTGAAATAAACCAAAGGGGGATGTTTTATGAAGACTCCTCAACAGCAGGGTACATCAAGTGAGATATGGGTAAGGGGAGGAATGGGTATTCACAGGGGTTGACTGATCTTTGAGGTGTTTTTCTTCCTCTTCAGCAGCTAATAGTTTGCATCTTTCTGTGGCTTTCAAATAGGCTGGATGCAGTGATGTATTTTTTTCTGTACAATGGAAAGGAAACACAAGTGAACAGCTGCTACTGGTATCTCTGGCACAAGGCTCTTGCTCTTGGGCCCGTTCCAGTCTAACAGTTTCTTGAGCAGCCCTTAATATCCAGCTGGGAAGGGTTAACTGAAGCCAATCACATTGACATCAGCATTTTTTTGTTTCCTTTTTGGTCCAGTATTTTGTTGATGATAAAGCACAGACTTAGTCAGTTGAGAGATTCCAGAGCTGCAGAATCAGAGATAATTTAATTAACGGAATTGCTTGTGATTGCCCACTGGGACAGCGGGTAGGAATTGCTCGATTTAATTTGGAGAAACAAAGATCACATGCATGCTAATGCTTGACAAATAACCAGCGTTTGGGTTAAAGTTTTTTTGCAGGGGGGGGGGGGGGCGGGTGGTTTCCAAGTTTCCCAGGAGGTGATTGCTGAGTAACAGCTCAAAGCTACAGATAGGTCCTTCTTCCTTTTACATGGTATTTTTATGTCCTTCTGCTGGCCTTTTACCTGAACAAAGCAAGGATTTGCTCAAAGGAAGAAAGTTGGTTCTTATTTTTAGTGCTGAGGGGAAAATGCTATGAACAGTAGAAAAACATGCATTGGGCACAAAGACTGAAAACTATCATGTGCTGTCTGCCAGGTCTCATAGACTTGCTCCCTGGTACCCAGCATCCTCAACTGTGACTGCCAAGTTGTTGAAGAGTCATCCACAAAGTCCAGAGAGAAGTGCAGGACCAAGCTTCCTCCACGAGGAGCCTTCCCTTCATGTTTTTGTTCTTGTATAAATGGTCTTGCTCAGGCTCCCCTGTTTGTGGTGATGTAGGTCCACAGTGAGTAGAGCATGGATGTGCCCTCTTGATACGTTCTCAGCCAGGGAGGACAATGCAGGTATCAGTGAGGCTGCTCACACCTGTGTGGTTGGAGAAGCACCAGCGCTGGGGCTCAAGGCGTTGCTCTTGGCAGTAGTTGTGCTCAGCAGATCTCTCTGGAAGCTGATAAATGACGTGATATCCAAACATGTAAAATCAGAGCGCTGAGGTGCAAAATTGTTAAGAGTCCTCCCACATCCAGCATGAGGTCAAGGCAAAGCGGGGAGAGCAGGGCTGTGGAAGCCAATTCCTCCTTCCCTGTAATTCCCTCTGCCTCCCTTGGCAGCGTAACTTGTACACAGCCTTACCCCGTCCGTGGAGCTTGGCTTTCTGACCTCCGCTCCACCCCGGCATTACCGTGTAAAAATACTGCACAGGCTGCTCCCAGCTGTGTCTGGGCAAGCGCACACGAGGTGTGCATGCAAGAGGGAAGCCTGAGGGAGTTCCCGAGATTGCTGCTGCAGGAAGAGTTGCTCCTAAGCGATGCTTATCTTTAGGATACAAGCAGCAGGTTGACGGTAAAATGTCACTAAATGGAATGGCATGTGTCCCAAGTGTGCTGGCCACCACGGGAGCCAGACACATGGGAAGTGACTCTTGTCTTTATTCCATCCCTGGAGGTAGTTCCAGTTTCCTTTATTTACTAATGTTCTCCCTATTTCCCTTGACCTCATTTCCTCTGGCTTTTCGGAAGCAACCATGCAATTATCGCTCACTTTGGGTTGACCCTTGGCCACCACGTCCCTGGTTGCTGCTGCTCCAGGAGGCTTTCCTGAAATCTCAAGTGCAAAAAACTCACTTGTGGCCAAAATCTCTCTCTTGTGAGACAGGAGCTGCGTCTTCAGCACTATGCTGTGCGTCAGGATTTGTCCTGAGAGCACGCTTGGCAGGGAGAACATGGAGTTTAAAGTCTGTCACAGCTGAGCTTTGATCAGCGCTGGGAGATACTGCAGTGGCTAAAGCTCCCTCTCTTACCAATGCACCCCAGTCTTGTTAATAAATGTATATTTAACAATGTCTGGAGCGTATGAAGTGATAATAACTAAATCAATACCTCCCACATTGATTGTCCAGGATCCCTACAGCGTGACGCACGCAGCGGTGCGGTAATTTTCCAGCTAACTAGCACCCTGATCTACAGCCCTCCTATTGATTGGCCATTGTATCAGGCAGCCTCTGAGCATTATTGCTTATACCTCTATTCAGCCTCCTTTTCTGATTCATTCGTTTATTACTGGACAGGTGCGATTATCTCAGAGACTTTCCGAAATTGGCCGATGGGGGTCAGCCATTTAGACTTCTATAAACAAGCCATTTTCTATCTCCTCTAGTTGTTGCAGAGGCAAATTTTTCCTTTTCAAGCTTTGACTGTTATTGGGCTGGGACTGGGGATGAATTGGCCTTTGCTTGGATCTGCTCAAGGATTCCACTTTTCCCTTTCCTTGCTGAGTCGCCTGCCCTTCAGAGGAGGACAGATAGCTCCAGGGATAGTAATAGGAGAATTTAGCAAGGGTTGAGGTTCTGCTTGCCACTCACTTTGGGCAGGAGCCACACTCACTGCCTTTGAAAACTCCAGTGCCCTTATGCATGCAGGAAGGAGAAATGGATTCCAGAAAGTCAAATTCAACTGCAGCCTTCATCCAGCGTCAGCTTGTTGATGGGCCAGGCTGGAAGGGAAACAATTTTCTCATCTGACAATAATCTTCAAGCTATAAATAAATAATTCTGTTTCTTCCTTGGGCAAAACTGACACCTTTCTAGACTTTCTTTGAAAACACTAACAATTCTTCCTTGAGGGTGAGAACCCAAACTGGGAGATGATAATAATTTATACCAATGAGTAGGAGCAAGTGGGTGTTTCACAGCGGGGAGCGCTGAGTCCTACTGAAGCTCTTTAATTTTGCTCCAAAGAATATTTATTGATACCAAGACTTGAATCCACAGTGTGTCTGTCCCCAGGCAGTCCTCACCCACTAGGCTATCACGGGATGTGTATTTCTTTGCCTTTTTTGCAGTTTTAAAATTGTTACCATTTCCTAGCAACTGTCATTTGCAATGGATCTCCTTCTGATGAAGGTCTCTCCTCGGTTAGCTCGTGCAGAGTGTCTGATCTGTACAAAGGTAGGAGTGAAGCTGGAGGAGCTTTATAACACTGGTACTTAACCATGTGCACTCCTGCAGCTCCAGGTTTTTTCTGAAGTGTCATAATTAGAAAAATCACTCAAGATTTTTTCGACTAGCTCTGTTTCCAGAGCCTTGGGAAAAGCCAGCAGAATCACCTCGTGGGAGATAGATACCTCAGATCCCTCCCTGCGTGCCGGCGGCAAGTGACTAATGAACAAAGGAGCGAGTGTGTGCGTGCAGCGGGAGTGCTGAGATTGCAGCTCACTTTATTGGTTGTAGTAATTCCACTAGACCCATGTTTTAGCCACCTGTTGATGAATCATCCTCTAAAAAGGTAGAACACATAGGTGCCACTGTGGGTTATGTTGTGATTGATGCAGCTTTTGGTGGTGAGGTACTCTTCAGGTTCTTCTGAGCTGGTGTCTGCTTGGACAGGCCTGAAATTCACTGGCGTACATGAAAATTGCTGGTTTGTTTTGTTTTTTCGCAAGAGTGAAAGTCTTAATGTCAATGCAATACTCTAAACCTTTTCTGGGGAATGCTTGAGGGCCCCTCCCTATATCTGCACTGTGTAGAAATCGGATTTTGCAGCATGCTGGAGGGACACATCCTTGTCTATAATGTTCCCCGCATCTCATTTGCTAAGCATTGCTGTCTGCCCTTGCTTTTAGGTTGGCAAGTTGCTTTTCACCAGCCTCGCAGAACCATGAAAATACACTTGCCTGCCCTCAGCACAGCACCTCTGTGACAAAAAAGATAATGCTGCCCATCAAAAATGACCCTAGGAAATGGGAAAGCAGAGATTGTAAAGCTGCTTTTATAGCCACCTTGTTGGCACAGTGTCCATTGCTTTTGGTTTCTCCTTTTTTTCAGTATTAGAACCCAAAAAGCTAGGGGTTTCTTTAATACAAAAGCATTGTGTTGATCCCGTGTAATGAGCTGATTCTGTGTTTCAAGGTTGACAGCCAGCAAAACCTCCATTCTCTAAGAGGAAGAGCAGCTCCTGTTGCCCACAGAAAGTTATCTCACCAGCTTTAGAGCAATATACAGAACTTTGTCCATAGCATTTGGTCCTGAGGAGTCTCTTAAGGGAGACAAGAAAAGAGGCAGAAAACAAAAAACAAACAAAAAAATCTGTTCTTTAAATGTCTGTGTCTTGTGGAAACTTGCTCTGTATGAAGTTGGCAACCCCAGCCCCGTTGTGTTCTGTCCTGATGTGTTCGGAAGTGTTTAGTAGGACACCTCAAAGAATTCACACTGGGCTTTTCAGGAATTCTTCTTCACCCCAAGTTAGATGTATTAGTTCGAATGTTGCCATTTCCTCTGCGGTACCTGTTGTGGGATCGTTTTTCCGCAAAACTTTTAACAATCTTGTGTGCTCAGTGATGCTCACTCTCCATCATCTTTTGCAGAATTACAGAAGACTCTGCAGTGACAACATTTGAAGCGTTAAAGGCTCGTGTCCGTGAGTTAGAAAGGCAGCTTTCCCGTGGGGACCGCTATAAATGTCTCATTTGCATGGTGAGTAGCACTCCACTTGTGGTAATGAATCAGAAATGTCTTGGTATCTTTGCCGAGGAGGGGAGAAGTTTCTGTCCTTTTTCCGGTGGAGTGGGGGAACTCATCTTTGTCCCTATACACCGATTAGCCTTCCAAATGAAGGTGCTCGGTCTTTTTAGCAATTGAAATTTCTGTATGCATTACATGGTTCCACTGGTATTTGTAGCTGTCCATCTGTATCCAGGGCAAGAAAGCCCCAACTTCGGAAGACTTTCAGCCTTCCTGTAGAAAACTCGCCGATACCAGCATCTTCTTTCTGCTTGTGCAGATTTACATACATAGGAGAGAGCAGAATCTGTGATCTGAGACCCACTGGATCATTTGGAAACAGGAATGTTGCCTGAGCATTTAAAAGTTGTCGATGTCCTGCTTGCTCTGTGGTGATGCTGTGGCCTTCTTAAAGAAGGGCAGCAGCTCCCTCTGATGGTCTGAGCCTGCAAAGCTTTGCATATCCTCTTAGGTTTTTAGTCTGATGATAGTGGGAGAAAATTCTGCTTGGCGAAGGGCTCCCTCTGCAACTTCAGCTTGATTCATGGTGCTCTCTCTCCCAGCTCACGACTTGTAGGTATGGGGGTGCAGTCCCCGTCTCTCATCCCACAGAAGGGACGACAGCTTGCTGCTGATTTCCAGAGGTTTATTGGCAATGATAGAAAATACTCAAGAGAAGGCGCATCTGCTGAAATAGCAGCAGCATTCTTGGGATGTAGTTAAGCTGTTCCTGCAGAGCTAAGAGTTGTGATAAGGGTTAATCTTTCCCTGTCACTGGTTTTTGTATGATCTGGTGACCTTTCTGATGGGAATAATGGAAGGTGGCTACAGCAACTTCAGATACTCTTGCGATAACTGCTGAGCCAGGTCACCGCTTGAGTGGATTATGGGCTTCCAACAGGAGTTCTGGGAAGCCAGAAAAATGGACTGCGGGAGACTTTCTGCCTCTACTACACAAACATTACAAAAATACAAACTTACATATTACACAAGCTTTTTTTTTTTTTTTTTTAAATACAAAATACAAGGCAATGTTACCCACAAAGAAAGGTGTTGTGATGGGTTTGGGAGTGAAGAATCAGTAGATCCCTACTGTGGAAATAACCTGTTTGCTTCTTCTCCTCAGGACTCCTACACAATGCCCCTGACTTCGATTCAGTGCTGGCATGTGCACTGTGAAGAATGCTGGCTGCGGACTCTGGTGAGGCTCTTGGTTACTTTCTTGTTGAGTTATAGGCTTTTTCCTCTCTTCTGGGATACTTTATTTAAATCACCACGGGAAAGGTGCTTTTTGCTTTATTTTAAACAATGTGAGTGCTGTGCCTGCAGAATTCCCAAGCCTTGCTGTTTAACACCCCGCTCTAGCTTTGACTTGAGTGACTTTCGTTTGAGTCGTCGTGACCAAAGTGCAGTCCTGCCCCTTGCTTGCTCCTCTGCTGCTGTGGGGACAGCCATTGCTCATGTAAGAGCTCTGTGCCGGGGACAACCTTGCCTTACAGTAATTTCCTGTGGGGCATCCATGCAGAGAGGTAAAGCTGTGAGAGTGGAGGCCAAATCCACTGAGATTCGCGGAATGGGTAGCTTCTGAGAAACCTAATATTCCCCTGAAGCAAAGGGAATCATCTTCAGGAGAGATGATATGGAAGGGAGCTTTTATGAATTTGAATCTGTATTTTTCAGATTATTTGAAATAGCACTGTGCAGTTTTCAAGCATATGCCATTCTGTTTGGAAGATTGGGGACTACCTTGAACATTGAATAGGTGACCCAATGCAGTAGTAATTTATATACGTATTAAAGGACATCAGGTTAAAATTCAAGGTGTTATTAAATAAAGTGTTTTCCTTTCCTTTGTTAAAACTGTGGGCTTTATAATCAGCCTTTCATTTCCCCTGTGCAGCTGATTTTCAAGCTTTCATTTTATTCAGGTTGGGGAGTGGAAAATAGTCAGTTGTGCTTTCTAGTTCTCTTGCCAGCAAGATGATACGGTGTTGGGTTGCAAAAAATGTAAGGGAATGCCACTCCTAAAAACTGTTCCTGTAAGGCATTACAAAATCTACTTTATAGAGCACGTTGTGCGCTTGGAATTACGATTAAGCCGATCATGCTCCTTTAAATCCTGCCTTTTAAAAGTCTTGTCCAAGAAAAGTTACCAGGACGGTGAAGTGCCTGTGGGCTTGAAGTACTAATAGCAACTCAATAACTTGGCTATCCCTTGGGCTGTATTTTATAGCTCTTCAGCTACACCCCGTCACTATTTAGATTATACAAGCTTTTGTAAACATTTTAGCAGCATGTTATAAAAGACACATATGTGGGTACGTAGCTGTGAGATGTTTGGATGAATGTGTGCTCTGCCACCTTTGCTAAGTGAAGAGTAATGTTGTCCTTCAGCAGTGTGACAAGCGGAGGATAAAACACTAATTTCTTTTTCATTTTCTTTACTCTGAAGTCTTTGTCCTCCCCTCTTCCCAGAAGCCTCAAGTCATCTTCTAAATCTGTAGCTCCGATTTCAGGCTGTTCTTAGGCTCAGCAGCAACTTAGTTCAACTTCAGTCTGGCCCCTTTGTTTCATGTGCAGTGGTCACAGCTGCTCATAAGGACTGGGAAGTCCCACTCCAGGTGCTCAGGGGATAGCATTTACCCTTGCAGAGGGGGAGCCATCTCCCCTCTAGATATCCGTGAGGATCAAGCTGGCTGTGTGCTATCCGCACATGGCTCTTCTGCTGACCAAGCAGGCGGGATGGGAATAGTCCAGCAAGACATCGTATTAGGACTTGGCACTTGCATAGGGGAAGCAATTAATAAGTGGCTACTCATGTGTTCCCCAGCCCTAGCCTCTCCCTGCAGCCCCCAATTTATTAAACCAGGCCTTTTCACAAGGCATGCTTGCACTCCCTCTCCCGTCTCAAAAAAATCTCCCAGCCTGTGTTCGCATGTTTCTAATGTAACCATTAAAATGTAGCCCGAAGACAGCAATAAAAACCCTGGAACGCCTTGGTGCTTTTGTGTCTTGATCAAAGTCAATGTGTGTAATCTCGTTAAGACTGCCCTCCTTCCCCCCTCCTTTTTTATGAATTTAATGGCATACAGCAGCTGGGCTCAGTGTTTAATGCTCACCAACCTGCATTGTTCTAATTAAGGTATCTCCTTTTATTTCGGGCACAAAAGAGACTCTTGTTTTTTTTAACAAGCGAGGAGCTGTGGGATAGTGTGTGTAATAATCGCTGCTGTTACCTTTCCCTGGGTATAAAGCTGGCTCCCCAGCAGGGGCAGGAGGAGGGAGCCCACGCGTGCAGCACACATGGAAAGACTTGGCTGGGGGAGAGGGGCAACATTTTTCTTCTGTTGTGCAATAAACAATTTGTTGGAGTTAATAGGAGTTGGGGCGGGCGGGTTGTGTCGGGCTTCCGGCCCCTTTTGAACATTCTGGAGATCTGCCATCCCTGCTGGTGAAAAGTCCCCTTTCTCCTGTGCGCCTGTGGTTTATATGCCCAGCCAAGATCTAATATTAAATTAGAGTGTGAGCGTGTTTGTGAGAGAGAGAGGGAGGACCATGTATTGAACAAGGCCTTGGAACTGAAGGCTCAGAGTGCCTGGGAGCACTTCTAAACCTCTGCAGGGTATTGAAGATGGGGTGAAATTTGGTGCTTACATCTGTCTATGGACCAGAGGAGGTGAAGTGGTTTTTAAAAGGTTTAAGGTTTAAACGTTTTCTAAGATACGATGATACAATGATCTGAGCGTCTCTAGTGTCCTCTGACTTCCATGGTGTCTAGGGCGCTGATGAAGATTGGATTTAAAACACTTAGGCTTTCTGAAAATACAATTTTTGGACTTTTGGCTCTTGATGTCCAATTCCAAATTATAACTGTTCTGTTGCTAAGGGAGGGGGGAGACATTTTTAACCACCAACTCTACAAATGGCTGCTGGGCTCTCTAGCTTAGGTACCGTTATACTAGAGCTCAATGCATCAAACCGGCTCCAAGTTCTGGGGATGAAACATCCACCAGAGCAGACTCCATCTCTGTCTCCTGTTGCTGTGTTGGATTAACGTGAAGGAAAGGCTGGGGTCACAGAAAGGGACCCTGGAGATGGCTTAAGAGAACCAAGATCGTGGTGCTTGCCGAGTTAGCCAGCACCTCAGTGCCAATAGAAGCTGCTTGGTTAGACGGTCCTCCTCAGGGTGGCCATGGAGAAAGGGAGGAACCATCCCTTCACTCAGCGTCAGGACATGATGAGTGAATGATTTTCTGTCCTTCCACTTGCTCTGTGAGCAGAACCAGTCTGCCTGAGGGCTGTGGCAGACCACAGGCTAAAGTTGTGCTGTATGCTGCGTACGCTGTGGGCAGCTCTGTGGTTGTAGGCACAACAGGAATGGAGACAGGGAGAGGGGTACAAGAATGTGTTGCTTGATGCCACGTGATTGTGCCTGGTTTCCCAGGAAATCGTATTAGCTGTTTTGTCAGCTGGGTTTGTCTGCTGGTTTTGCATTGCTGTGTCAAACCACACCAATGAGCTTGCTACTCCCTACTTGCTGGTTGTCTGGGGCACTCAACACAGTGACATTTTTCATTCAGCCATCCTGCATGCAGGGAGCTAGTTGATATCTTCAAGTTATGCAGAAACTGGGACGCTAGCCTGGAGTGACTTCCCTGTGATCCCTTTTGGAAACCCCTGAAAACAGGTGCAGGTTCTTCAAAGGCAGGAGGGGAAATGGTGTTGCAGGAGGGAGGCTTAGCCTGGGCAGCAGGAGGTGGGGTTCATTTCCCTGAAATTCAACCGTCCTCGCGGCAGGTGTCTGTCCTCAACTGGTTGTTGGACTGCAGCCCTGAGTCACTGGGTGATGGGGGATGAATCTCCCTCTGGAAGAGGTTTGTCTGCCCCTTCTCTATCCTTCCCCATTAACCGAGATGGACCCTACAGCTACTAGTGGGTGAGATTTGTATTTTCCTTCTCCTGGGAAGTGTGCTCTGACAGTAAAGGTTGGCAATCTGCTGCAGTGCTTTGCTGGGGAGGTTTGGAGCCTCCATCCTTGGAGGTTTGTGAGAACAGGTTTGATGCATGTCCATCAGCAGTAATTCAGGTTGAGGAGATCTTGCTGGGGGAATGGGTCAGGGAGTTCTTGATGTCCCTCTGAGCTGTGGTTCTGTGATCTCCCAAACCCTGGTATCCTTCCTTACGAAGTAAATGGAGTTAAAAGCTAAGTCAGGCTGTTGTTTGCCGGTGATGGAGCTGTTGGTGGGTGCAGGCATGCAGGGGCTGAAAGAGGGCAGGTTTATTTGAGCAGGTGCGGTTTGCTGAGTTTCCCCCATTGCCTGCACAGCCAGGTCCGGCATTTCCTATGTGTATTTGCTGACCCCAGGCTTGTACTTGCCTGTCTTGTGCTTATTTGAAAATGACAACTGCAAGAGCAGGAAAAAATGACTTCTAAAAAGCCTTCTTCATCACAGAATATGCTTCCAGGGGATCCATCAATAGATATGTATGCTCTGCAGTTGACACATTTATATCTTTGGTAGGTTACACTACTACGTTCTTAGCCTTGTCGCTTTTTCTAGGCTGTAATACCGTATATCCCATGCGGGCTGGAGTATTTTTGTAAGAAACAGCGCAGATACAGAGCAATCCTTCTGGGTGATTTCCTCAGTGCTTCCAGCAACATAGGGACCTCCTGAGTCAGCAGCTGCATGGAGGATGCTGCGCTTGATCCTTCATGATGTTCCTATCTGCCATGAGGTTGCCCGGTTATTTATTAACATATTTCAGTTTTGGCCTCCAACAGCCTGTGGGGGTGAGCTCCACCCTTTGAGGAGGCTCTGTGAAAAAGGTTGCTCTCCTGATTGCTTTAACCATAATACCTGACAACGGCGGTGGTGAACGGCTGCTTCTCTGGGAATTAGCATTTGCAGAGGAGAAGCTGCCACTTCGTGTGCAGGCGTGGGGAGAGGGGGCTGTCGCCTTGGTTGAGAATTGGATCTTGGAGTTCGATTCCTCTTCTGGCAGAAGCTGGCTCTTGCTTTGGGTCCCTTCTGTCATCTCTCTGCCTTGGTTTTCCTTCCTATAAAATAGGCGAGCTTTGAGCCCAGGTTTGACAGTGGCACTGTGTAGGCGAAGTTGCTCTGTCCGTGTGTCTTTATTCTCTGTGCCTGGTAGCATATTCTGCTTGGAAATTGCCCATTTTTAGACCCACAGGACAGCAGGAAGTGCCTAAATCCTTCCTTTTGAGTTTTCTTGCTTTAGCCAATTTATAGCAGACGTCATGCCTTTTTTTTTTTAAGAGGCAACTTTAAGACAAAATACTCCAATCCTTCCTGGCTCCATGTGAGCCCTAACGACTTCTCAACATCTCAGCTCTCGTTAATGTATTTTTCAAACTACTACCCCAAGTGATTAGCCTGTATTGTGGATCAATCACTTGCCAAATTTTAATTAAGAAAGGAGGAGAAAAAATAAACTCCATCCTGGTTCCAGCCCCTTTTCTTTGCTTTGTAACAGCCCTGGAGCAAACTTCTTGCAGCAGAGTTTTATAAACCCCTCAAAACTGGGGTTTATAATGGAAAAGCTGAGGTGGCCTTTACTCTAGCACACGCAGCTATAACACATCAAGGCTTTTCCATGAAGCTATGATGAAAGGAGCAGAAGGACCTGGAAAAAAAAGAAAGAAAGAAATGGCCGACAGGTGGGACTTATTATTTCACAGCATTTTTATTTCAAGGGAAAAGTTTAGTAACCCCAGCTGGCAGGTGAGCAGTGGGGGAGCAAACGCTTTTTCATTGTGCCTGTGCCAGCGTGTGTGTGTGTACAAGCTTATGTGCCTCTCTACAAGAGAGGAGAGCTTAAATGCTAGTGCCAATAAATGCTGTACACCTACACCGAAAAGTCAGATGTAAGGAACAAGGTTCTGAGCAATTTCAATCTAGAAAGAAAAAATCAGGACTTAGTTCTGAATTTAACACACATGCTTATGTGTGCAGAGGATGACAGCTTTATTTAAAAAAGAAAAAAGAAAAAGGCTTCCCCAAGGGTCCAAAGTCATTATTTTTGCTTGAACTGTTTAATACCGAGCATAAGTACTAGGGAGACCCAGAGACCTGGGCCCGGCATGCCATGTGCAGTCAGCCTGCGCAGCGTTCAGGCCAGACTGCTGAAGCTCTCTAGGATGCCATTGTTCCCTCCAATGTACCCGGGCTTCAGAGCTCAAGATGAGCTGCCGTTCCCACGTGCAGGTGAAACAACATCCACCACTGCCCTAAATCAATCTGCGATCATGTAGCTTTTGCAGAAAATGGGTCAAGCTACATGTGGTTGGGTTCTGCCTTCTGGCGTGGTCAAAAACTTGGCCCTGGCTGCCCATGTGCAGCTCTCAGCCTTAGGTGGGGAGAGTGGATCCCCCTAAAGCCATCAGCATGTGGTGCAGAAAGCAGATCTCCGGGACAGAGATCCTGGGGTCTGGCAGGATAAATCCACCCATCTTCCCTTTCCCTGTGGTGTGAAGGAATTACATACCTGACCTTGCTTTGCCACGGAAGAGAGGAGCAAAGCTGCCGTCGGTTTAATCAGGCTTGTTCTGCCATCCTGTGGGCTGAGTGCAGAGGACTTGTGCTTACAGCAAGCACCTGCTTAGCCTTTGGAAAGACCTGGGCAGGGTGGGTTTTCAGGAATCTATCCTTCCAAAATTACCCACATTGAGCTCTCTAGCCTGCGTTAGCAAGGTTGCCCTCGCTATGGGTCACACACATCTGCCTGCAGCTGTCTCAGTCCACCTCCAAATCCCAGAACGGAGCATGAGATGCGAGACAGCGAGATGGCAGCAGCTGAGATTTGCTTTTAGCAAAAATGAACTCAAGGGTGTTCAGTGCTCCTCCCCACCACCTACAGCCAAACATCTCCAACTTCAGCAGAGCTAAAGGAAAATAACTGCTAAAGTGCTCTTCAGCTTTGCACAGGAGCACTGAGGAATAGGGGGGCATGGTTTTAAGTGGCAGCAACCACTTTCCGTCATCCTTTGCCCCAGACTGAAGGCAGGCTGAGGCCTTTGATGGATCAGGGAACTGGTCCTGAAGGTGACCTCTCCCTGGTGTGTTGTCCAGAGAGGCAGAAGCTCCAGCTACTTGGTTGGATGCTTTGCTCTTGCCAATAAGCTGTGCCTGTCTTGGGAAGGAGAGGATGGACACAGATGCGTGCAGTAGTCACATCTGGAATGCCTTACAGTCCCCATGCACACTTACCTCCGCTTGTCAGGGCACACAGGAAAGCTCGAACGGGCAGCTGCCAACTGCTGCCCCTTTGACAACATGCTGTGAATTAATTCCTCAGCACCTCCCTGCCACTTCCCCTGGGACCCTGCAGCTACAAAGACGATGCCAAGAGGCCAACCAGATGCAACAGGAGCCTCTGAGGACCAAGGAGCTGCATGGCGATGCAGGCCTGAGCAGGGACTCAACTGAAACAGGCTGTTTCGTGGCATTTGCATCCAGATTAGTGAGCCCCTCCTTGGCAGTGCTGCTGTGTAGCCCGGCCCACAATAGCTTTAAAGGTGGCAGAAGGGGCAGATGTTTAGATTTTCCTCTCCTACCTGTTGTAGCTGCTGCAGGAAGTTTTTACTGGGACATGCAGGGTTAGAGCTGGCCCTTTTCTGATGCTGGCGACCCAAAGCTCTGGTCTTGAGCACAAGCGAAGAGGCGTGTTATATAAACAGGCTCTGTTAAAGTCCAGTGCAGTCAGTCTTTGATTTCGTCAGGGTTTTAAGCCTTTCTTTCCAGTTGTGATTTGTGCATGCGCTTCCCAGAATCCAGCATGCCAAGTCCACTCCGTGAAGACCAGTGCATGGGGCTGCCCGATGCGTTGCACGGGCAGAGTGAGATGGTCCCTGCCCCAAAAAGCTGAAAATCTAAACAGGTACAGTAGTTAGAGTGGGATAAGATAGGTCCTGGGCTGCTAGAAGGATGTGCCCACAGGCATCAGCACCAGAACCAGATGCACCATGCAGACCACCAGTGGTCTGTCCCACTGCCAGTCTGTCACTCACCCTGAGAGTGATGTCCAAAGTGTCTTGGGTGTCCATTATGTGTTTCATTCATCTCTAGTTCAACTGCACTTTGTGTGTGGCTGTTTTAGATCTCAGGTGCAGGTGCCCGTGGTTCCTACATGCATCGGGGCAGCGGCTCAGCTGCTAGCAGCAAGGGGTATGAAATGGGAACCTAATTACTCAGAAGTCCGAAGCTCGGAGAACAGCAAACGTGCAAAGTCCATGTCTGCCAGGAATAATGTGCACTGGGAGCAGGGAGGGGGCTGGTTCAAGGCTGGTCTGCAGGGACGTTTCAATAGTACTCAAGACCACAGAGCAAACATCACTTGCACCTCTTTGGAGTGACATCCCTGTGAATTACTTGCACCTGTGTAAATTTTCTGTACCTGGGACTCTCTCCTCCAGATTCCTCTTAGTCCGGGGAGCTTCCAGGGGAGAAAGCCCCTGTCCCTCTCTCTGCAGGTGTTGTCCCAGAGCAGAAAGGACCTTTTCTAAGGACGCTTGCCTTTCGTAAGCAGCAGTGCCAGCTCCTCTGCTAGAGGTGTCCCCAAATGCAGGTAGCAGTACCAAAGCAGCGTGGCAGGTCACGGTCCTGCCCTGCTACTCAGTCCGCCTCTTGCAAGCTGCCGCACTCAGTGCTGCAGGTACTGAAACAAGCCCTGCTAAGGGAGAGCAGCAGCATCGCTGAACCGAATGGCTTCAGTTCTGCCAGCAAGCCCTGTGCAAGCCGGCAGGCTCTCACACAGCATGTTGCATCCCTGTCAGCTCGCTTGTCATGGCGAGCGCTGGGTGTTAGCTGCTGGAAGGGCCTGTCTGACAGCAGCGAGCAAAACTCGGGGTGCTCGGACAGAGCCTGTGCTCAGTTCTGTGCAGCGAGAGGTCGTGTTGAGGCTGCGGTCGGTGTTGAAAGCCAGGGCATCCCAATTTCCTGCACTGCTGCTGCTGTAGATGGGAGGCTGCCTCGCAGCAGAGCCATCTTTTTTTGTCATTTTTCCCATCAACTGTCTGTCACATCTGCCAATCTAATGATGACCGGCTTAGGTTGACCCCGATTCTGAGGCTTATTAACACCCTCTTGCTGTCAGGCTCAGTGACAGATGGCACATCAGCCCTTGTTTTATTTCATGTAGTGTTCATGTCGGCCGCCCATTACCTCTCCCCAGTTCACAGTTTACCGGTTTCAGGTCACCTTGGCAGAACAGACTCATCACCGCAGCATCTCTGCGAGCTGGGGGAGGACAGGACGGGGGTTTCCTTCATGCCAGCAGCTCTGGGGCTTTCGCAGGATGGCCGAGGCAGTCCCCCAGCATGCTGCCCTGAAAGGGATGCTCCAACCCCACCATGAACCAGCTGAAAATTGCGCTTGTTCTGGCTGGGTTGGTCCTCTGCCTGCTCGGTGACCTGAACTGGCTCATCAGGGGCTGCAGGTGAGCAAGGGAAGCAGGAAGGAGCAGATCTGCCTGGCAGCTAGCGACAACGGTGCAGTGGGACGGGGGGCTCAGGCCAATCTGTCTGCAGAGACTCCTCTCCCCGGAGCTGCTGAGTTTGGTGATGTGTCCTGGCTCTGGGTTTCAGGCTCCTACAGAGCTCCTGCCTGCCCAGCCGCCTCATGCCAGGGACTGGAGTGGGCGAGGGTCTTGCAGGGCAGGCAAGGAAGGCGTCGGGGCTCCCCCTTCTCACAGCTTGTGCCCGCTGTTGGGAGGGCACGGCCCTGTCTGGGGAAGGGGGGTGGCCTTGCTCCCCCTGCTCCTGTGCTGGCCCTGAGATCCCAGGCCGAGAGCAGAGTCATGCGGGTTGTCCTCCTTCACCCTCTCATGCTGTTCATCTCGTCTGCCGGTTGCAGGGTGCCAAGAAGCTCTGTCCCCAGTGTAACACCATCACGTCTCCTGGAGACCTTCGGCGCATCTACTTATGAAGGACCCAGCGGGAGAGCAGGACCCAGCTGCTCGGCTCAGCTCATCACACCAAGGGGGAGAAGAACGACAGCAACAAAAAAAAGACGTTTTAAAATTAAAACAAAAAAACAACAAAAAAAAAAAAACAGAGACTCCAGACACGGACTCGAGGATACAGGAGCAGTGGGGAGCCTCGGCTCCCAGGTCCCGCGTGTTGAGACCTCCTTCAGCATCTGCAGCGGGCAAAACCAAACCCTTTGTTGTGAAGCCCCCTTTTTTAAAACCAGTATTTCCCATCCACCCATTCCCTGGCGCTGGCTTTGCATCGCGGATGGCTCGTGAGCCCTCCTTTGGACTGTGTTGTTGACCACTCTGCCCCCAGGAGACTGGGGAAGGGACCCTTGACAGAAAGATGTTAAATAACCTGTAACTTGTGTTCTTTGTTCAGTTTTTTGTTTTGTTTTTATTTGTTTTGGTTTGGTTTTTGGTTTGGTTCTGTTTTGGTTTTTTGTGGTGTTCTAGTGATAAAAAAAGGTTTAAAGAAAAAAAAACACACCCAGGCAGAAATGAAGCACATGTAATATAGATTATATATGTTTACAATGTTGTGTATAAATGGGATAGACTCAAACATTACATACTAATAAGTTTCCATTTCTTTTTTTTGGGTTGTATTTTTTTTAAAGAAGAAAAAAAAAATGAGCAGAGAACATTAAACCCATATTTTTCTTGGTTCAGCAAAGTTTTGGCATTAAAGTCATTAGTTTAAAAAAAGTATATATATACATATATATAATATAAATGGTTTAATGTTCTGTGGTGTATATTTCCTCATTCAGATATGAAGTTAACAGCTTTTAGTAATGGCTGGGGCACTGGCCCCAAAATAACA